TATTTACAATTCATAACAGCAGCAGAATTACAATTATGAAGTAACAATGAAATAATTTTACGGTTGGGGTCGCCGAAATGTGAGGACCTGTGTTAAAGGGTCACAGCATTGGGAAGGTTGAGAACCACTGCTCTAGAGCCAAGCATTCTGGATAGAGCCGCCTTCTTGCTGCCGTGATGAGAACAGTTTGTATGAGCCCATCTTGCTAGTGCATGCCTTTCATCCCAGCACAGGCAGGCAGCCCTCTGAGTTCAAGGCCAGTGTGTTCTACATAGTGAGTTCTAGGCCATCCAGGCCTACATAGGGAGACCTTGTCTCCAGGCAACGACAAAAAGTGTAAGTATGCCGTCAGAACCACACCGGGAATTCACCCTTGGCATCTAAGCCATGGCTTCCAGCTTTATGACTCCCTGTGAGATAAATGCCTAGCCACCAGCCTTAGCTTGTTCACTAAACAGAAAATGTGGCAACATCGTGAAGACCAACTCTCCCCTCAAATCCCTCATAACTTGTTAGCATAGTGCCTAGCAACGCATTAAGTCTCAATAACCGACAGCATGCACTGTAAGGCTTGTCATAACTATGCTCCTGACTGACATTTTATTTGATTGATGTGTTACTGTGGGTCCGTTACCCAGAGAATCCCCTGTCACTGCTTTTGTGACATTTCTTTTCACATTACATGGTGTGTGCAGCCTATGGCTCTTAGGCCTCATGCAACCAACCATACACAAAAAAAAATCAGAAAACATGTAAAACATGGTCACATGCCTGTGACTCAAGGGTAACTCAGCTGTACTGTTCTCCAGCAGTTCCTTTGGGGTTGACTGTGCCATGTTTAATGACACCAAGGATTGTAAGTCTCCTGGGTTGCTAGTTAACATTTTTTTTCCCCCTCACATTCCAGAACATCCAAGATAACGAAAGGCCTTGCTCTCCTTTGAACTGTCTTTTCTGGACCTAAACACTGTCGTATATGCTTTTTAGTTTTTTCTCACATACTGTTTCTTCTGCTTGCTGCTCTGTAGCCCTAATATGCTGCTGGACTAATAGGGTGGGACTGGTTCTTAAGCACAGCTTTGAATGTGAGTCTTTATAGAACTTTAGAGAATAAATATGTAGATCAATATTCAGGAGCAGAAACAGGCATTACTTTTATCAGTCACCTTTCTGCCGCAGTGATGAAACACGAAAGAATGAATTTATTTAGGCTTATGGTTCCAGGGGGATATGGGTCTATCATGAACGACAAGGAAGTATCCAGCTGGCAATAGGTAAACAGCAGGACTAGCAAGCTGAGAAAATGTGAATCTTTAATAGTCTGGAGGAAGCTGAAAAACTAGAAGTGGGGTAAGGTTTTAAACTGTAAAGGCCCACCCCCAGTGTTGAACTTCCTCCAGTGAAACTACACCTCCTTGCAGACTCTCCAGACAGTGCTACCAACTGGGGACTCAGGTTTCAGATGCCGGAGTCCAAGTAGGACGTTTCTCATTTAAACCACCACAACAAGTCTGTTTCTTTCTCAGCTGGAGTCAGTAATGGAAGCTAAAGCAAGAAACACATCAAGGAGTCCATGTCCTCACTGGAGGATGCCACTGTGAGTCAGTTTGGCACATCTCTGAAACCCTGCCAGAGACTCTAGAAAGTCATAAGAAAATGATTGGTGACGGAAATCACATGTACAGAAAAGCCAGTATCTTCGCACAGCCAGAGCTCTCAAGTGATGAGGGACACAAAGCCTCTGCGTACAATAGATGTTGCTGTTCATTGTTGGCCCATTTGAGGTATCTTTGATCTCTGCAGAGGAGGGACATGGCTAAGGTGCTATGAATGGACAATAGAGCAGGAGTAGGAAGAGCAGCAGGCGGTGAGTGCGCTGTGCAGCCATCAAGCCCTGGAGATGCCCAGACGCTGTGTACCTAATGATAAGCATCTTCGCTAGGTGCCTTCAAGTCTCGTTTCCTTCCAGCCAGACTCCAAAGGACATGTTTCATCTTTGACACCTTTCCAGTGTGCCACTTTGGGTGTGTAGGTTCATTTCTTAGTCTGCCAGAGGCTATAGGTATACATCATTCCCTTTTCTTGGTACCACTACAGTTTCTTTCTGATACACCTGGTCCCTGCATCCCTATGAAGTGTTTTTTTTTTTTTTTTTTTTTCTCTTCTGTTATCCTTAACACAATCCAGCTTTGTGAGTCCTAAGAACCGATGTCTCTCTATTGTCTTGGAGTTAGGAAGTTGGGAGTAAGTTCCCATTTTATTGGATGCATTGTTAACTTTTACAGGTGTTTGTAAAGAAATAAAATAACGAGACAATTCTGTGCCTAAAAATTATACCTTTGATAATGCCAATGCTTGGTTGTGAGATCAAAAGGAAAACATAAAAGCTGTTCTCTGAAATAATATGGGAGATCGGAATTAGAAATCATAGCTTTTATGGAAAATGAGAAAACCCTCAGAATTGACAGGCAGCCTACAGATTGCTCGGTAAAGAGATTTTTCAGTCCTCCGTGTGCATAATCAGATAGGAACACTTTTAAAAAGCACAAGTACAGAAATTCTTAATTATTAGTTCCCTAGCGTGGAGTCCAGAAGTCAGCCTCCCCTTTCAGCCTCTGCAGGTGACTGTGCCCCGGCCAGGACACAGAAGGGGCACTTTCTGGGAAAGGGAGTAGAGTAGCTGCTCTCCCCTGAGCCCCAGTCCAGTGGTGTATGTTCAGCATTTCTTTGCTTCTTATGGTAAATGAGGTCTTCTACGTGGGGCCTGCAGCTCCCTCCTCACCTGCTGTGAAGGGCTGGCATGAGGATGTGCTGTGTATCACTCCCGTTTTGGACTGTGAGAAATTAGCCGTTAGGGTTGCAGGCTGTAGTTCCTCTCTGGAGCCTAAAAGCAGCAAACGTCAGAAGTTGAAACCGGCACTTAAGCTAATTCCATCCTAGTGAATCCTCCTCAACAACTTTGTCCTAGAGAAGAGTTTTTGCTTCCTGTTTGTGGTGCTGGGGATCAAACCCAGGGCCGTGAGCATTCTAGCACTGAGCTAGAACCTTTCCCCTTTAAAGTGCACTGTTTGTCTGGATAATGATCTTCACTTTCAGATGCAGAGCTCTCTGGTGCAGATTCACTGAAACAGCCGTCCCTGTGTGCTTAATATGGTGACTAGCCCATCTTCCTTCTGCTAACCCTCATCAGCCGACACATGTCGTGTAGGAAGGGCCTGCAAACCCACAGCAGACTTAGGGCAGTGGGAACAGGGGCTGCTTTCCAGGTTCCTGCAGGAAGCAGCAGTGTATGCACAAGCACAGTTCTTCATTGCATGAACCAGGAGGACACAGCAGCCCTGGGACATGCTAGCTCAGGCTCTACTTCCTACTTTATGAGGGCCTTGTGGAGAAGGGGATGAGCAAAACATGGTGAGTGTGGAGAGGGACGAGACAGCCTGTGTCCAGGAAATGGATGAATATCGTTGCTCTGTTAAGCACAGGCATGGGGAAAATGTGAATTTTTTTTTTTTAAAGAACAAATGTGTCCTGATGAAGATGCTAAATTGTTGAAATGAGAAAAACAGTAAACATTTTTTTCCTCTACTTTCTTGTTGACTTTGTTGTCCTCACAACACATGACGTATACAGAAATTATAAAATATACAAAGAAAAAAATTAAATGCTGTAATTTTATCCTGTCTGCAGTATCAGTGCATGGGCACGCTCAGATTCATTTACTGCATCCTCACCGTTGGGCAGTCATGCTGTCTCTCAGTCTTACGTGTAGCCATTATACACAGCACTTCCGAGACCACTCTTGCAGCTGAATGCATCCCATGCAGCACAGCCAGAGCATCTGAGAGAATGCATGTGCAGAGTCCCGAGAGGAGAGACTCTTCTGGGAGGCACATCTGTTTGACGTCACCCAAAGTTACCTGTTACCGTGATGGCAACTTGTAAGCTGTGTGAGCCTCGTATCTGTGGTCTGGCCTCAGTGGCAGCATTGCATAATAAAATATCCAGAGTTGTGCTGTGCCGTGATTAATTTTAGTTGGAGTATGTAAAGTTTGGTATATTTGTGATTAAGGAATAACACGTTGACTAATACTGAGAAAAAAACCATAATTGCTTATTGCCGGTGTGAACTTCGCTTCAAACTGAGGTTTCCTGTATTGTGCTTTAAGTATTTCACTGGTGATTTGGGGGAGGTGATATCCAGCCATTCCCGGAACAAGCGAGCACACAGTGTACAAAGTATAAGCTGTAGTCGGTATAATTCCCATTTTTGCCATTTTGACATATCATTTGGTTTACATAAAAAGAATGATTCTAGACACAGGCAATTATAAATAAAATTGTAAGAGTAATCCCAAATGGTATTTGAATCTGTACTCCTTGCTTCCTCCTATTTTGAGAATCAGATTTGTTCTGCTTGGAATATTAATTTATTTTGTGTTTAGCCTATTAATGCCGTTGTATCTTTGGATGCTGTGGGAGCAGTTATCCACGCTTCGTGAAATCCTCTTTGTTTTTTGGTGCAGGCAGTTAAACCTAGAGTCTTGTGCATGCTAAGGACTTGTTGGTGCCACTTAGTGTTCCTTGTCATGTCGGTGTGAGTGGAGCCAACAGCAGCCTCCCTACAGTCTTTGTTTTCTTTGGTTCTCTGGTTCTAGACTAACGAACTGGGACCTCTGTCCTTGAAGCCTTCCACACCACAACTAGATTTTTTGTCACATTTATGGTTCCTAGCTGCACTTTTTATTCTTATTTTAAATTTAATTACATTTATTTCCTTGTGTGTGTGTGTGTGTGTGTAGGTCACAGAACAACTTGGCAGGAGTCACTTCCCACTTAGCCATCTTTCTGACCCACCGTCTGTTTTGATTGATGGACAGGGACCAAAACAGTCATCCTGCGAGGACAGAATATCCTAAACTCCGTTCAGAGAAATGATTCTTCTCTTCCCGATCCCTTAGCATGTTCCAGCTTTAATCCTAAGTTGTCCTTTTTCCCTTTAGGCTGGAGGCTCCCAGGTGATTTTCACGAATCCTTTAGAAATTGTCAAGATCCGCCTGCAAGTGGCTGGGGAGATCACCACCGGCCCCAGAGTCAGCGCGCTGTCGGTGGTGCGAGACCTGGGGTTCTTCGGCATCTACAAGGTAACTTCCCTTCCACTGGTTTCTTTTTAATTACTGTTATTTTACGCTCATAGCTGTTCTTCCAGAAAAAAGTTCATTTCTCCACTTCAACTAGACATTCTGCTGGAACCCATAGGACACTATCATGCCAATTAGGAGGTGTCCCTTCCAACCATCTGCCAACAAACTGCCCTTAGAGATACAGAGATGCGGAGGGCGCCTGATGGAGTTGTTCAGCACAACTCTCTCCAGGGACACTGGCTTCAGCGGCTAGCTGTAGCGTTTTTTGTACTTCTGTTGGTATAGGAACTCTTTGTTATTTGGGTTTGTGTATGTGTGTGTGTGTGTTGGGGGGCTGTTGTACACGTGCACATGTTTGTATGTGTGAACACATGCATGTGATAGCCAGAGGTCACGTAGGGTGTCTTCTATTGCTTTCCACTTTTTTTTTTTTTTTCCAGTCTTGCCCTTTATGTTGTTGCTGCTTCAGGCCTTGGCTGCATACCTGCACAGCGGGGCCAGCTGCTCCTTCTGCTGCTGCTTCTTGGTTTTCAGCTTCTCTTCGTGCTTGGTGAGCCAGTGGCGCATGGCTCTAGCCATCTTGGGTCATAGGTCCAGATGCTTGCACTTCTTGCCCATGAGGGATTTCTTTTTGCATCTGGTTAATGACAGTGAGGAAGCGGACGATGGATTTGCAGACGACCCGGATCTTGGAGAGCTTGGACAGGAGGCTCCACCTGTCACCTTGGCAATATGAGGCTGGGACACCCTCACCCTCAGATCACCCAGTTGTTTGAACAGCTCCTCCTTCTTGTTGCACAGGTCTGGAGCCTTATCTTAGCCCTGCCTGGGCTGCTCACCTGGTTCCAGAGAAAGGAAAGGGTGGGGTGCTTTTCACTTTTTTGAGACTTTGTGTTTCTCAGTGAACCTGGAGCTTATTGATTGGCTGGACTGGCTTTGCAGTCAGCCCCAATGACTCCTGTTTCTGCCTTCCAACACTGGGATTACAGGCATGTGGCCACACTTAGCTTTTTATATGTGCCCTAGAATCCATATGGAGGTCATCAGCCTAGCATGACAAACACTTTACAAACTGAGCCATCTCCCCAGCCCCCAAACCAAATTCTCAGATCAAGAATTTACTTTCTGGTCCTATGTATATTCTGGCACTTGGCGATTTTTCTGTGTTGGTACCTCTTCTTAATTTTTATGAATCGTACTCTCTTTTTGTTTATAAAATTGTTTTCCAATGTCATTTTAGTGGACATTGGAAAAGTTTTCCCTACTCTTCTACCACAAATTTGCATTGGTATAGCCGGGTATGGTGATATGCACCCTTGGTCCCAGGGCTTGGTGGGCAAAGTCAGATGGATCTCCGTGATTTCAGGACCAGCCTGGGGTACGGAGAGAGTTCCAAGCCAGCCAGAGTACCCAGTGAGACCTCTTTCTTAAAGAAAAGAAAACCTTTGTTCTAATAAACTGAGGTTATCTGCATCTATACCCATCACTAAATTTTATTGAACAAAAGATACTCTCTGTTTTCCAGTAGGAAGATTTGAAAAAGAATTTGTTGCCTACCCAGATAAACCAGTGTTTAGGAATACGGGGTGAAAATTCAAAGTCTGCCTAAAGCAGCCTAATTTATATGTGCAGAATATATAATTAATAAGTTACATCTATAGACCGAGCTATCTTAATCAGATTGTTGGTGTGCATTTTAAAGCAGTGTCCCGCCACCACTCACTCCGCTTGGGTTGGTTTCCAGAGGGCATCGTCTTCATTTTCACCCCAAGCCATGCAAGGAAAGCGCTTTTCATGTCCATGTCCCTAGAAATCTACCCCATAGACACTTAACATTGTGACACTGAAGTCTTGCCCTCTCCCATCATCCCAAGTGGGTATAAAGGACCCTGCAGGGGTAGCAACTGCACTGAAAGGAACTGCACCCTTGGGCATTCAGTGGGGTGTGTTAACCTCTGTTTCCCCCAATGTTTTTTCTCTTTTTGTTTCTGGGATCTCTGCAGGTGACCTTAGTGAGTCAGTCAGAAATGCGTACCATGGAGCGTGTTTAGGCAACTCTCCCACTCCACAGCCTTCTCTGCCTTCCTCCAGGTCACGTGATTGATAGAGCACCCTGTGATCTGATGGATACGGATCAGATAGAGAATGTGTCTCTTTCTGCCGGGGTTGATGTTAGTAAGGGAATTAGGTGCATATGCTAGTATGGAATAAATACATGGATGTGGAGCAATTTTCTTTTTTTAATTTTGCATATTTGCTGTTTGTGCATGGGCGTGCATTATCAAGGTCAGAGGACAGACTTGAGGGGTTATTTCTCTCTTTCCACCTTTACATTGGTTCCTGGGATCATACTCTGGTTGCCATGCTTGTGGCAAGTGGCTTCCCCTCCCCAGCCATCTCTAAGGCCCTTGCTTGATATGTTGGCTCTTTTATTGTTAAATAGCACCTGAAATGCTTGTCCTAAAACTGAACAATGAACACGGTGTCTGTAGCTGTTTTGTTTGCACATACGTTACCAGCTATAAGAAGTAAACAGTACTGTCATGGGGCACTGGAGGAAAAAAAAATACCTTCTGTTCTAACGTCTTAGGCACTTGCCGTCTGTGACACGATGTAGCGGCTTGTCACTTTGACAGGATGCCAGGCTGTCTTTCAACCGGCTGTCTAGTAAAGAGCACTTGGTACTATGGCAATGACTGTTATCAAAATATCTCCGCAGATGAAATGGCAGGAACTTGTTTGCTGATGCAAGAGCAGACTGTGCAACTCGCTGCAGATGCCATGAGGGCTGGGGCTTGGTGCTTTTCATCTTCACATTATCTCACTATCTTAATCCCCTCTAACGCTCCTTGGAAGGCACTGGCACCCTGATTCCGTCTCAGGGTGAGCAACGGCTGCCAGCTATGGTATTTGAGCTGAGACTGAGGCTCAGACGTTGCTTGTTTGTGCTATTGTGCTAAAGTTGCTTTTCTGAAATGATCAAGATAGCTCAGGTTGGAGCAGGAGCACTGTCTCATATAAAGTTAGCTAATTACTAGTCTAGAGGTTTAATCTAGTTGAGAAGCATTCCACAAGGCTTGGCGCTGCCTTCCAAAATGCTGTTTCGGTGAATTGGTAATTACCACATGAAGTTACTAATGTTTTTGAACCGAAACTTTGGTTTCATTGTATGAAAGTGACCTGGCCTTTCCCACCTTGCTCCTGGAATCCCCCTCAGCCAAAACTCCCAGAGACCCAAGGGTTGCCCAGCAGTTGGGACCTTCAGATCTGCTCATGTCAGTACCCCAGGCAGCTTCAATTCTCTTCTTCCAGTTTTGTGTTGCGGATCTGGACTCCAGACCTCTCTACATCACCTTTCCCTGGTCAGACATCATGTTGAAAACTGCCTTGCTAGGGAGCATCAGGACTGTGGCTTTTCTGCATGGTTCCAGGAGATTTTATTTCATGATGTATAGAGCTTTCTACTTGTAAAGTGTTTCTCTGCGGTTTTACTTGGTTAGGAAAAAAAATGCAAATGTCTGGAGCAACCCAATACTTCAAGGCTGTTAGTTGTCTCTCAGGTAAGTCCTGGAGGGGAGGACCCCGTCCTAATTTTTATTAGGACAGATCCTCTTTCTTCTCCTTCCCAGGGTACCCTCTGTTTGCTGCTGTTAGCATTACAATGCTGGAAGCAGGGGGGGGGATGAGCCATTGCTTCTGTTTGTGTGTTTAGGGCTGCTCAGCTTAACCTTAACTCAATTGATTTAACCAAGCTTCCAGTTTTTGTTTTTGTTTTTGTTTCCTCATGAATTGACTTGCAAAATACCTTAGCATTCTGTGAACTCCTTGGCAGTTAGAATACTTGCCTTAAGAAAAAATATATTTGCAACTGAAAAAAAAAAATGTGAGTACAGTATCCGTGTTACATTACTCAAGTTAGAAATAGTTTAGTGAAGATGAACGAACTATGTAAGCAAAAGCCTGCCCCTGAACTGGTAACACTTAGAGATTTAGTTAAAGCATACAGGAAAGAGCTGATTGAAATAAAGGAAGAATGAGTATTAATATGTAACCCTTCCCCCTCCTCCAAAAAAAACCCTCAGGTACAACTTTTCTTCAGAGCTTGAGAATGCAAGGCCTGTGCTTGCAGCTCTGTGGTAACACCCACACACAACACACAAACAGAGAGAGAGAAAGAGAGGGAGGGAGGGAGGGAGAGAAGGGAGAGGGAAGAATCCTAGCTTTTCATGTGTGTAGATCTAGTTCTGTAACGCTGCTTTATGGCCCAAGTTTGCATAGCATAAAGTAAATCATCTGTCATAGGAAAGACGGCTGTGTGAACTTACCTTTTGTGTTGGAGCTGTCAGTTTGTAAAGCTTGTTATCTAGCCTTACATGGCAGCCCAGATAACAGAGGTCGAAAACAGTTTCTCTAGAAAGCAACAGTAAAGTTGGCTTTCCTGAAGACAAAACTTGGCCATTGGAGCAATGAGGATGAGAATCCTCATGCATTAACAGAAGGATTTTACTTCATGTAATCCCACATGTTAGATGCCAGTGCAAGGTCACATAGGAATATGGGCTTCACCTGCTCTGTTGTAATCACACTGTATTTGACATTGTACAGGTAAATTTTTTTTTTTCATCTGTATACATCAAAACACTTACATGGTCAACCATTTTGTGTAGCTAGATTCCTGGAACTATTGTCAGTGTGTTCTGAAAGCATCTGTTTGTTTCAAAAGCTCAAATCATCCAGGATACAAGAGTAAAAACTCTCATAACCCAAACTATACCAAGGTATCAGTGTATTACAAATCCAGTGTTTCTTAACACAGTACATCCGAGGTCTCTTCTGTTGTCTTGTCTTTATAGCCACATAAAAATGTCTTTAAGGTATATGTGCGTGTGTGTGTTACAGAGATAACATTTTTAAACTCATTTTCTATCCTCCATATAATTATTGTTTCTTTCCAATTTTAGAGATGTTAGAAATAGGTAATAAATTGAAGAGAGTAGCGA